ATTTAAACTTTAGAGGCACAGATGTTTTAGTAAACATAGACGTTGAAACAGCAAATATTTTACTTGATGGTGAGATTAATTTTTTATATGGGACATATTTGCAATCCACTTTGCTTCAGGATTATCCTCTTTTTTTTTTGTGACCTAGGCCAGAGATAATATTGGTGGAATCATTTGTAATTCAAGTCTTTTTCGTATGAATTACATAAAAAACCGACCTAACCTTCCATTCTCTTACGATAACGATTATGTCGAATATTCGCATATCTTGCAACGTCAGAATCTACATACTTTTCACGCTTTTTAAATTTGCCACTTAAAAATATTCCAAAGAAAGCATTGATATATTCCTTCAGTTTTATTTGAAGCAAATACATATATTATATAGTGAGATATAACACCAATTCCCACAACACTAGATTACTGGAAGCAATAAATGATGACAAATTATGGTTACTGGTTAGAAGTTAAAACCCATATGTCAAAGTCGTCAAAGTACATACTACATATCACTGAATAGTGAATATATACATTTTCGCCATCTGTTCAGGTTAGACAAGGTTAGAAATAAGATTAAAATAGATAGAAATAGTAACTACAGGTCAGACGTATTCACCAATATTCACTCGCGAAAAAAAGCCTTTAGTTGCCATAATGATTTATAGGTGGGTGGTCACCTTGGCTACGAATATAATGATACATCACTAAAATTCACTCAAAACGAAATAGACATGTTTCCATGTTTGTCATGTATCGAAACGGCAGTATATTTATGAAAAGTTATATATTCAATAAGGCCCGTCGCCTCTCAGGCTCATTGTTTTACGTCAGTAAACCTCATCGTCAGTAGAAAACCTTTTCTCACCCATAAATACCTCCAGAGAGGAGAAAATATGACAGTAAGAAGTTGACAGATCAGGGCTGTGAGCGGAGGGGTTGATGATGCTCCAACCGAATGAATCTAAGAGTTGCTTTGTGATGTTGACTGTGTGGGGACATGCAAGAAGCACACTCCCTTCGTTAACATTCATGCATTCATCTCGACCAAAATCAATCGACGGTCGCCACGAAGCATTTCCTCGATCTTATTCACCATCCCATCAGTCACGATTGAAGGAGGTCCACTCCATTGTTCATCATGAACATTCGTTCTGCCAGCTTTACATTCACGACACCACTTGTACACATTAGTATGATTCGTCACACCATCCCCATGAACAATGTTTATTTCGTTAAAAATCTGGAACGGCGCTTCTCCCTTTGCAAGAAGAAACCGTATTACGCTCCTCATCTCATAGCTGGCAGTATTCGAAGTAGCGGCACTCACTTCAACACACCACTAAAACAACAGTTCTCAACTGACTGAGACAAATGAACACACGTTCTGCCAACATTGCCGAAAACAAAAACCACAGAGCATCAGTACTCTTACTTTGCCTCGTATTATTGAGTACTCTGCGTTGGATCTGCCTCTATGTGCTGGTGTAGCGTGGTATACTGAAAAGTTCAACTTAGTATGTAATATTTTAATAGAAATCAACAATTTTAATATATGCAAATATTCTTGTGGTATTTACTTAAAATCTTATATGTCATATGATCATACAACGTGTTAGTTTTAGTTTTGCAGTGAAACGGAATTAATACGTAAGATGATTTCCTTTTTGAAATGTTTAATTGCAGTGAACAATGGCGCACTGAGTTTACGGGAATTACCGCCACACTATCACAGCAATATTTTCGGTTGAACGGCCAGTATGAGACCAGCCTATATTTTTGTCTGTAACCGAACCTGTCTGTTCAAATTTGGAAATTAATCTTTTCACAGTTGTTTCATTCGGGGCGTTCCTTCTACCGAAAACTCTACGTAATTTGCGCACAGTCTCAGCTACACACTCTCCGTACTTGCAATGAATTTTCACAACCTTCTATCGCTCATTCGTCGTATAGCGCTCCATTTTACCTAACCGCAACGTGTTCACTACAACCTGCAGATGCTGCCAACTTTTCAGAATAAAAATGGCGCACAATTCAAACCCTGCGTTACTTTTTAAGTTAAAAATGAACTCGAGTATTGTCCATTTTTTAAATAAAACCGAAAGCGATTTCGTCCTAACAATACTACTAGAAGTTAGTTAGTAGGAGTGACCAAATTTACAAATGGTTCAAAGTACCCAAACCTGAACTGAGTGGAGTTTTACCTTAATGGGATAAGTTATTGTTTCGATACTCTAAATCTTCTGACATTTTGAAAACGTGTATTTTTTCAAATTTCATCGAAACGAAACATTTCAGAACATTCCTTTATCCAACTTTTTTTTTGTTGTAACCACGTGAACGCAAATTTTACGTTTAGTCAACTAATTCTGACATCCTGTAAACTGAAATTAAAAGAGTTTCACGATAATACGAGTACAAAATTTTAACAAAAGCTAAATTTTATAACTGCGTAATGAGATAAGTGAATAAAGGATAAGGATCAGTGACTTGTTTTCCAGTGAGAATTTTACTTTTTTAAATATTCGAGATGAAAGTAGAAGTAGTAGTAACAGTTAAGTGAACAACATGTGAACGCTGTTTCTAGTACTTTTAAGAGAAAAATTTCATATGTCAATATAAGTACCTACATAATTTTTAACTCGACGGATTTCTTTAAAATTGAAATGTTTGTCAGATTTATTAGAAGCCAAAATTAAAATGTTTTGACTACCGGACATAATGAAAATGGTGTTTACATAATTTCGAATAATTTCTGAAATTGTTAGTCAGAAACAAAATAATCACGGTTCCGTGTTTGTTATATACAGCGTGGTAAAAAAGTTCTGCATAAAATTCATATTTTCGTTAAACAATTTTTTTTCGAAAAACGGTGAGACCCGTCGATTTTTATTTGATCCAGGGCACCTTGTTATGTGGAAAAATTTTTTTTCGATAATCCACTTACGGCAGCGATGACATAATTTTTTTTTTAAATGACAACGCATATTTTTTTCGTTCGAAATTGATGACAGTGATAATTATCTAAACAACGGTGTGAAAATTTCGATGTCTTACATAACAATTTTTTTTAGAAAAATGCACCTTAAGTTCTTATAAGTGATAATTGTCTACTTACACTATTAATGGCTCCGAAAAGGACAAAGTTGACAAAATTACATTTCAAACGAGTAAAATTACACTAATGTTTGTGTAAGTCTAGCGAAATTGTTCGAATTGCCCACCCTGTACCATTTGGCATTGTCCTAAGCGTGTGTAAACGCCGTCTACACTTCGTTCAAGCATTCCCGGGTCGATTTGATTTATTTCAAAACGAATACGGTTTTTAAGTTCTTCCAAATCACCTGGTCTGTTTGTGTACACACGCGATTTCAAATAGCCCCACAAAAAAAAGTCTAGAGGTGTTAAATCAGGCGAACGCGGAGGCCACTCGATTGTTCCGCGTCGCCCGATCCACCGGCCAGTAAACGTGTTATTCAAGTACTCCCGTACTTGCACTCCATAATGGGGCGGTGCACCATCCTGCTGAAACCAAATTCTTTCCTCAGGAATATCAGGATCCTCGTTGTTCGGGAATAACTCTGCTAAGCTTGGGACCAAATCGAACCGCAGGAAATCCAAATAGCGAGCAGCAGTTAAATTTTCCTCGAAAAAATACGGGCCTAAAATACGACGCCCTATTATTCCCGCCCAAACGTTCACCTTTCGGGGGTGCTGATGATCTACTTCTTGCACCCAGTGCGGGTTTTCCTGAGACCAATACCGGCAGTTATGTCGATGCACCGATCCATTAAGATAAAAAGTAGCCTCGTCAGAAAAAATTATGTTCTTGAGGAAGTCGGGGTCTCCGTTACATCGATGCATTAAATCTTCACAAAAGTGGAGACGGCGGTCTGGGTCGTCCTCAGTCAATGCATGTATCAAGTGACCCTTATAGGGGTGAAATTTCTCTTTTTTGAGAAAGTTCACCACAGTTACATGTGAAATATCATTGTTCAATGCAATCGACCTTGTACTAGAATGAGGGTTGTCCTGGAGCTCCACCAGGATATTCAATCTAGTTTCATCATCTACTCTAGGACGACCCGCACGAGGAGCATCTTTCACACTACCAGTTTCCTCAAACCTTGCCAGTACCCTACTAACCGTAGATTGCGTAATTGGTGGTCTGTCAGGGTACGTTGCATTAAATAATTGGCAAGCTTCTTGATGGGTTCGTAACTTATCGCCGAAACCAATCATCCTCAAAATATCAATTCTTTCGCGTTCACTAAGTTTTGCCATTTCGAATTAAACGATTTCACCAAAGAATGTTAAATCGGTACTGATTTTTAGTCTTCAATATTTCAGGTAATCTACTCCTTTCAAGTAAACATTTCTTTGGATCTTTTTTTTTTAGGAATTTATCGGCAAACTCGAAGACAAAAAGTCGACCTTAATTTGCTACATACTATTTGGATTTTGTGCGGTTGAACTTGGTTCTAAATTTTGCAGTTTAATCAGGATCCTGACAATATCTGATGAATAATTCCGCAAATATTACATAACACCAGTTGCAACTTAAGTTATCTGAAATGCTTTCTGCTGAATAATTTTTTTTTCTAAGGCATTTGATCCGTAAACAGCAAATTATTGCATTCAAGAACTTAAAGTGCATTTTTCTAAAAAAAAATTGTTATGTAAGACATCGAAATTTTCACACCGTTCTTTAGATAATTATCACTGTCATCAATTTCGAACGAAAAAAATATGCGTTGTCATTTAAAAAAAAAATTTTCCACATAACAAGGTGCCCTGTATCGAATAAAAATCGACGGGTCTCACCGTTTTTGGAAAAAAAATAGTTTAATGAAAATATGAATTTTATGCAGAACTTTTTTACCACGCTGTATTTCGTTTTCCACCTAGATATAATTGTCGTGTACTCCACATTAGACCTGCCTGTATATGCTGATGCAGCAAACTGCATCTAAATGTTGTTTGATTCAGTAGGTAACATTTGAGTAGAAATCAACAACCTTACTACGTAGGCGGCCTTGTGCTGTTTTCCTAAGACCTAAAATGTCGTTTATTTATACGACATAATAGTTTTAGTTTTTCTGTGAAACATAATAGACCTAAAAACATCCATTATATTAATAAGGCCTGTGTTGTGACAAACTGAGAAAAATATATTATATAAGGTAAGTTCATGTACCCAATTATACACCGACTGAGACACAAAAATCACAAATTATTCATTCTAGGTTCAAGAGATTTTATAATCAAAAATCAGTTAGAAACTTAGTTGGTTTTTATTAGTTATAAGCATTGAACACAAATGAGTTCCACGAATAAACATTTACATAAAAAAATGTAATACAAAATAAAAAATATTTACTTAAAATTATTATTAACCAAAATAGTCACTAAAATAGGTATAACATACATTTTTATTTATCAAAATCATGAGAAATAAATGAACCGTATTTTTCGAAACTAATTTCTTAAATCTTAAATATCTTAAAATACAGAATTCTCTCATTTTCTAATTCACGATAATTTCTCGCTTTCGTTTTGATAAGTTATCGATGAAAAAATAATTTCGCACAAATATGACGTTGCAAATTGTACCAAAAATGTAAAAACCTTTTACTCAGAATACTTTTGCTTTCATTGGCAGCATTTATCACAAAAAAAGCAACTTTCTAAACCCATGTTAGAAAATCACGATCGTGTTCCTTCCGAAAAATTTTTAAGGATATTGTTTCAAACTGAACAAACTTGATCCATATCTGCTGTAAGCACAATTTTCAAGTTCAAGGAAAGTTCAAAAAGTTTGTGAATCACTGCTTTAAACAGCAATAATGTAACTTGAGATAATAATTTATCCTTTTATAATATTTAATTTAATTTATCTTTCAGTAAAAATAAAAATGAAGGTAATGATAAACTTAATTGGTACACAAAAACATTGGTACTAAGTATTTTGGACGGACATACGATTACCGTCTGTTATTTCTTTTTTTAATTAGGTACATAGATGTGGTTTTCTGTTGCTCTCACTGAATAATAGACCTGTGTAATTGGCTAAAACATCTATTTTGAAATTGTCTTTTTTATTGTTTCAGGACATATAGAATATTCGTAATGGATACCACGTTATTTACCTTTATCATTTTTTTATACTTCTCCCTTGTATCTTCAGGTAAGAAATTCAGTCTTAATTTTATTCTGTAATTTACAAGTGTTCATAATTTTTAAATCTCACTCAAAATGTATACACAAAAAAGAAGTTATACCAGCATACAATGACAATGATATGTAATACCAAATATACACTAAAAACCCCGCAACAAATTGTCATAGTTGAAATTGTCCAGACCGAATCTGACCCTTGTGTACTATTTACATAGATACTATAAAAATGAACAACTTCAAATTAATTTATTTTTACAAGGATTTGGAAGTATTTAAGAACACGTGTTTCGTAAAATAGGTACACTAATGTGCTTAAAACTTACAAACAGCGATATAAAGGAATATTCCTAAATGTAAATAAAGTAAAAATTTAACATTAGCCGTGTTATTCCTAATGATCATGCTCGGAAAGAATAACCTCATACGCAAGTGAACTCTTGTTGATATGTTATTGTTGTCACCATTAGCGTATTATTTTCTTTTGTTTTGTTTAATCTTGGCATTTTCCAGTTCTACTAAGTATTTATTGTTTTCCTTGGTGTTATATTGCGTCAGTGTGTTTATCGAGTATACTTTTCTTCAAGTGGTTTATTATAGTCGTACTCTTGACCATAATCAAACTTTCCTTGAATGATATCCTGTTGCGAGGCTACTTCGCTTACATAAAATTATCTTTAATGTGCATGCTCAGTAACATTGATATAATTTTAATTTATTAATTACTAAGTATAAAAGTCAATATTGTTCTATAAATTTAAATGTACAGAGTGATTCAGAACTTATCCAAAAAATGATTCTGGATGTACAGGGGACCCTTACAAATACAATTTTGTAAAGATTTAAAAATACACTTCTGTACGGCACTGGAAACTGGTCCACTGTAAAACCTGACCTCGCACAATGCGACCGGCATGGCGGTGTGATAAAAACGGACAAAAACTTTCGCAAGGAAAGAAATATGTAAATAGAATTTCATCGCACCTATTTTATATCGGCAAATTCAACTGCTTTTGCCTTTATTAATTAATACAATTATTAATTTGTGTTTTTAAATAATAAAATCATTTGACATACCCGATGTTACAACAATTGTTCAAAATTTTATCCACCAACGTGTAAATACATTTGTCCGTCTTACTCTGTTTCTACGAACTAACACAAATGTTGTCTTGCTTCACCATATCACAAATGCTTCACCATAAATTAAAACGATATCCATGAACTCCGAGTTGCTATACACGCAAACCATTTTTGACACTAACTACCCATTTTTGACATTAACTACTAAAAAAACTATTAAACAGATAACAGGTAAATACTATTGCAACGACGATTGCAAAATCCGATTTCAGTATTCGGAGTCGCTGAGGCCACGTGGCTCTCCACGCGCATTGCGAATGACGCTAGAGATTACAGTTGTCCAGCTATGTAGTCGTTGAATGTACTATAACTTCAATAATTTTTTTCTCGGAAAGTATAAGGATTTTACAAAAATTTTTTTTACGATATTGGCTCCATTTCTCATGCCGCATGTATTCCCAAATTTTTTTGGATAAGTTCAGAATCACCCTGTATAAATTCTATAATTCTATTAGTTTGTCACTTGGGGTTTGAAACTTGTTAAATATTTCTAATATTGCCAGAATATCGCAATATTTAAGGTCATGACAAAGAAGCCATTTTTTTGACACTTACCTCCAAAGTACATAAGGTCGAAAATCGATCTAGTAAAAATATTGAGAAATTCTTCTATACATTTTTTATTTAAAATTTTAACTTTTGTAAGAAGATTTTGGGACGCAATTTTCTTTCAATTCATGTATCATGCGTCATATATCTACTAGATATATCCATGCCACACTTGCTTATATCCTAAAAATGTTGAATTATCTACAAATAAAACAATTTTTTGTGCCTGTATAGAACAAAATATTTATATACATATATAACTGTCTAGTTGAATTTATAAGCTATAATGTAATAATAATAATATAATATTTTAAATTAATCTAGTTTTATTCCTAGTCACTTAAATATATTTTTTATTTCTGACCACCTTGGACAAAGACTAATAGGAAATATATCCCGGAGGCAAAATTAATATACTATTTTAAAAATTGCTTCTTTAAGCAACCTTCTATGAAAATTAGGATAAGTATTTGAATACTAATAACCTAGTGTACTTATTGTTATTTCCATATTTCAGATAACCATAGAAATTTGCCACCTATTTATGAAATGGAAGATTACTTAGGGTGCTTCGAAAGAAATGATTTTTATTGTAAAGTAGATGCAAGATTAACGAACAACGGATATGAAAATAATAGTCTGTGGAAGTTGATTAATGTAAATTGTTATAGATCTGAAGTGAGTTATCATTCAAGAATTGCTAATATATAAAATTTCTAGGATTCTATCAGCGATAGAAACAGCTATGACCGGACTATTATTCACAGGGCTATATGTCTCCCAAAAAGAGAAGTTAATTTGAATTCGACTAAGAAGCTTTCTGAATTTCGTATAAATGAGAAATTTACTGGAAATAATTTAACTGTATTAGTAGAAGATATCGTTTGTAATACAAAAGATAATCTTAATATATCTTTGTATGATCAATTGTTACTGTAAGTTTTTATTAATTAAATGATTTACCTAGAGAATAAGTAAAGTATTAGTTTTTAAATCAACTTTGCTAAAAAAGGAATTGAATGTGTATTTGAAGGGAATGGATATTTTAGAGATAAATGCATTGGCTGAAAATGGCGATGGGAGAAGTAAAAATTAAGAGTTTTATAGAAAATCAATTAAATATATTGTGTAGCTTAACATTTTTAACCAAAATGGCGTAAATATTTAGATTTTGTTTCTTTCTCCTAAATAGTTTGCTCTATTCTTATACGCTATTGGGAGTTGCCTATTTTCACATCTTACATATGTCATCCTTTTCATGAAATGTATTTATTTCTTAAACGCATTATAGTGTGTACTAAAACATATACCGACTTTTTAGATTTTTCTTCATAGCATATTTACTTTTAATTATATATGCTACAATGTATGATAGATGGAAAAGGACAAGTACAGCTGGAAGCACTAGTAAGTACAGTATAATTATATCATGCACATAAATAAGTAATGAAATATTTCATAATTTCAAGAATCCATAAAAAAATTTTCCAAAATATTAACTGGGAATAATCTCAAAACTTTATATCAAATATTTTGATATTTATCTGTAAATAATTTAATTTCTTTCACATTATAAATAGTAGAGTACATACATACCTTAAAAAGTTACAGACCTTCAAAAAATTTGTTTTTATTCAATTCATTTAGGATTACATCACTAAAGAATACTAATGAAATTATAGAGTTGTTTCTGGGCTAGTGAAATGTAAACTTATTTTTTTGTCTAAAGCAGAAATGCCCTTAGAACGCCTGAACCAGTCTTTTGCCAAATTTTTCTTGTGAGGAAATGAAGATACTTTTTGAAATATCACTTTATTTCTTTTAATAAAGATGTACTTTTGCAAATCGTTCAAATGCACTATTCTAGATAAATATTTTAAGTTCTAACACCTATTGGGATACAGCCCTATTTATAAATTTAATTTCCCTGTACTGCATTGAAAAATCCATGTATCACTGACTTTTTAATGTTTGATTGGTCTAAATTGAATAAAAAAAAATATTGATTTCAAGTACAAATTTAACGAAAGAGAGAAATTTAATTGAATTCGAACAAACACTGGGATATCTGTAAATATAGTAAAACAACACGGAAAAAAATTGAAAGGCGTTGTGTGCTATAAGAGTGTATCTCAAATATTGCGTTAAATATGTTTATTATTGACGTTGTAAGCATAATTTTTTTCATAAATTTTCTATTATGAAAAGCAACGAGTTCTAAAGTTTTGTAAGTGAATGATAGTAGCCAACAACAGTAAGCAAATATGAATTTTGACCACATTATTGTAGTATTGAAAATGTGGTAAACCTCAATAATCATTTCAATGGCGAATAATTTATTTTCATTTTTTATAAACTGATTGTAGCAATAATTGACAGAGCTCAACGATAATATTTTGTAGCACGCCATAACTACCAATTAGTAGATGTTCACATTATTGCAGAGGTTAGCTATACAGTTCTTTCATGAATAAATAACAAAGTGATATTTCAAATAATGTCTTAAGTACGTTATCTTAAGATCTCCTAACAACAAGAAGAATGGCAAGAAATAAGCTCGTATCCAGTTACCCTAGGAACCGCTCTAAGCCAAATTTAATTGAAACATTAAAGAAAACGGAGGTACTTTTAAAAAATTAAATATTATACAGTGTGGACCATTTTAGTGATGCATGTAATCTTAGAGACTATAAGAGATAAGAAAATGGTTATATGGGGAAAGTTTTAGACAGCTCTGTTGCTAACTTAATGGCGCTTGCAGACCTTCAGGTTTTTGAGTTATTTAAAGTTAAGTTCTTTTTAGTTATGTGTATTGGTAGGTGATTTCAACATTGATTTGCTGCGATCTAGTTTCTATTCTGATAAAATAAGACAATTAATTGCACTGTATAGTATAAGTCAACTTGTAACAAAACCTACCCGAGTTACAGCTACTAGTGAAACACTAGTTGACTATGTATTAACAAATCAAAATAATATAATAGCTCATGTGCATGATTATCCTAAGATAACAGATAATTCATTTTTGAGTGTTGATTTGGGTGATTGCTCCTGTACTAATGATCAGTTAAAGAAATACAGAAACTTTAGCGAAAAAAACCTAAACAACATAAAAACAAACTTAATGATGTGTGACTGGAATTTAGATACAACTGATATCGAAAGGATATTTCAAGAGATTTCAATGAATTGTAACTTTGTAGTTGATGACATTGCTCCTATACAAACTTGTAAATATAAAACTAAAATTCCTTGGTTTGATAATGAGGTTTTTGATAAAATTAAGGACCGTGATAGAGCTTACCAATCTTTTAAAAACTGTTCGGATAATGAAAAACAATATAAATGGGAAATCTTTAAGGTGTATAGAAATAGTGTTGTCAATCTTCTGAAGCGCAAAAAAGAACAATATTATTTCAACAAAATTGATATGTTTAAGAATGATACAAGGGAAATGTGGAAAACTTTGAAGAATTTAGTTAATGTAAATAGTCAAAATGTGAATAGTTATATTTCATTTGATGAGGGATTAGAAATTAGGGTACTAAAAAATGATGTAGAGATTGCGGAAAATTTTAATGGTTATTTTGTTGATAGTATTGGAGATATTACAAATAGTATTATCGCCAATAATGGAAACGGGTATGGTTTATATAATTATAATTTGTATCCAGCGTTTGATGAATTTAGGACAGTAACTATGTCAGGTAAGATTATAAATAACTTGGATAATAGATACTCTGTGCATGATGTGATGAACCCCAAAATGTTAAAGGAAATATTTAAAGCAATTGGCCATGTTATACTTAACTTTATAAATACGTCGCTGCGTACTGGGAGGATCCCGAAGTTACTGAAAGTCTCTACAATCATTCCAATACAAAAAATTGTTAATACAACTAAAGCTAATGAATTTCGACCGGTTAATACATTGCCATCAATTGAAAAAGTACTTGAATTAGTGGTGTATGAGCAGTTGCTTGAACATGTTGAAAAAAATTCCATTTTAATAAATATTCAGTCTGGTTTTCGACAAAAGCATTCTTGTGAGTCAGCTCTTCAATTAACCCTATGTAAAATAAAGAATGATATTGACAATAATAAGTATGTGATTGGGATATTCTTGGACTTAAAAAGGGCTTTTGAGACAGTGGACAGAAAATTGTTGTTAGCCAAGATAAAACAGTATGGCGTTGGGAAAGATCGGAAACAAAGAGTTCGTTTTAATGAAGCTGTATCTAATGAAATAAACAATGATATAGGGTATCTACCTCTCTAACTCAAGGTAGTGTCCTGGGTCCTCTTCTCTTTATATTATACCTTAATGATATCGAACTTTTTATAGATTGTGAATTTATTAATCTTTTTGCTGACGATACATTCATAGCATGCAGTGATGTTAGCCTTGAGAAAGCAGTACATCAAACAAATAGGATATTAACAGCTGCAGCAATATATTTTACAGCTAATAAACAAAAATTGAATATTCAGAAAACTAAAGCCATAATATTTACAGCTAAATATAAGTATCGTATGATGGATGTGACTGGGATTAAACTGCATATAAGTAATGAGAATATAGATATAGTATCCCATATAAAGTATTTGGGTTTTCAAATGGATAGTTTTCTAAACTTTGATTACCATTTGGATTATACGCAGAAAAAGATATCTAAGAAACTATATTTTTTTGGCAGAGTATCTCAGCATTTAACAACTCAAACCAAGATTACAGTATTTCATTCAATTATTCAGCCACATTTTGATTACTGTGCATCAGTTTTATATATGTTTAATCTTAATAAACTGAATCAATTACAAAAACTGCAAAATCGTGCCATGAGGATCATACTAACAGCAAACCGCCGTACACCGATAGTAAATATGTTAAAAACTTTAAATTGGTTGTCAGTTGAACAGAAGTTGTATTTCTCAACTATGGTTTTTGTGTATAAAATAGTTAACGGATTGGGACCAGAATATTTCAGTAAATATGTTGTTTTTGTGGGGATGTCCATCATTATGATATAAGAAATAATAGAAACATATATATTTCTAAAACAAATTATAGAGGTACAATGAATTCTTTATTCTTTAAGGGTTTTAATGAATTTAATAAACTCCCTCTAGAGGTAAGAAATGTGGAGTCCTTGAATTCCTTTAAGTGTAGACTAAGAAATTTAATTAACTGATTATTGATGGCTTTTATATGTATGTATATATGTGTATATATATATGTGTGTGTGTGTAAGTTATGGGTATAATGTAGTTAATGTGTTTTAGGCTTAGTCAGATACATGTATATTGAACGGTGTATTAGGGTCAACCTATTTCAATAAACAGATGTATTAAAAAAAAGTAAATGTGGCGTTTTCGAGAATCGTCTGTAACTTTTTTATTTAGAGGTTTTTTTAAAATCTGAATAATAATCCCGATGTATATGTCTCTATTACATGTTGTTGATAGGGTAGCCAGATTTCCGGGTTTTGATGGTACATCTTCGGGCTCCGGGTTAACATGTCATTTCTCCGGGTTTGTTCAAACTATTTGTCTCCCAGATTTTTTTTTATACATCAATTACAAAAAACGGGTCATGTCTCCGGGTCTGTCATGAAATAGATCTGGTAACCCTAGTTGTTGATGATATTGGATTGTTGTTGAAATAATCTATTATTTGATTGCCCCAGTTATTATTATCTCTTTCTTGTTCTTAAATCATTTCATGTTGTGGTTGCCTTTCAGGATAATTTCCAATAAATCTGTTTAAAGTCACTGTTGCTTTTCTATTATTTTTAATAAAGTAACCTAGATTACAGATGTTCAACAGTAATCGTGACCTATTTTACAGAGAATAAAGCCATCATAGCACTGTCATTATCTTCAAACTGGAGGAAAATGTGTAATACTGATGGGAATGAAGATTACATCAAATTAAAATCAATCCAAGGAATTCGATTTTATAACATGTTATTAATTATCAGTGTGCACACTCTTCTGAGTTTTAATATAGTTTATATCTCAAATCCTAACGACCTTGAAATAGTAAGTATTCAAACGTTCTAACAGAACTGTTAGAATTGCAATAATTATGTTTATTAATATAATTCACTATCTACTGTAGCAATTAGATGTGTTTAAATTGCTCCTTTGTTCTTACTATTATTAAGTGGTTACTTTGGTACTTAGTAGATACATTGGTGTTTTTTGAGCGATTGTTAAAAGTTTTAATCAGTAGTTTGAAATTTATATACTATTTTGATACATACCTATTATAAGAAAATAAATGCTTTTAATAATGGGTTCATTCAGTAATATTTAATTTATAATTTATTTTTACATTTTCAGTAAACACTTAACCTCCAAACATATGGTGAATAAATCAGGTCGATAGCTTTAAAATTAATTGTAATAAATAATTTCTAATTCTTAAAATATTTGAATGGTTCCATGCTGTTCGCGGGTCATTTTTGACGTCACACCACTCTATTGACTTAACCCAACAGCTCGGTACCCTATTAACTATTGTCTCAAGTTACTTACTTGTGATACAATTTTAGTTTTTCCTAGTTTAAGAGTATTTTGCCACTTACAAAAGAAAACGAAAAATTATTGCACCAAAAAGACCAATCAAATGTTATGTTCATTGAACTATTTTTGCCTAACCAAAAATCACACACTGAAAAAAGTGAACAGTAAAAAACACGCATCAGTATATTTTTTAATTTAATGTAGGTACTTTGGGAGAAGGAGATAAGTTCATTTCTTAGAAAAATGATATTTTTGCAGGCATAGATTTAAAGGGAATCTGTGGGAGTAATATAAAGTGGTTGAAATCACTTATTCACAATTTCTGAACACGTTTACATATCTCATTTTCGCGTCATAAATAGATCATAATAAATCATAAGTTATATTTTGGGTAAATCATCATTCTTTATGTGAACTGTTCGCTTTAACTTATATAGATGACAACAAAATTGCTAACTTAAACAGTTTACGCATTGGTACTTATTTCTTTCTTACAGTAAGATCTATAATTAGAGCTAACGTTTTCAAAAACCAATATTTTTTCTATTAAAATTTGTAATGATTTTTTAAGTAGATATTATTATAGTTTAAATTTGTTTGTTTCTATCTGCTTCCATAGCTAGAGATATGATGAAGATTAAACCCAACAATGTAAGCTAGCCGGTAACGAGTGGTATGTCGTCACAACATGGCTTCCGTGCATTTTGCAGCGCTCCGTTTTCATTATTTTGACAAAATTGTTGAAAAAAAAATATTAAAAAAATATTTATTATAAAAAAAATTATTTGCAGATTAACTAATTATAATCTATACTTTTTGAATATAAATTTTAAAAAATATATGCTAAATTAGTCGAACATCTTGTCCAGTTGATGTAAAAACTGGAGTAATAAACTTTAATAAATATAATATTTAGTAGAAACAAAATTCAAATTGTAACACTTTCAAATCTGGGTATTTGGGGATACGTGTAGTAAATTTTTCAATATTGATTGATTTTTTCTGGCTCTCATGTAAAATATTGTAAATGTTGAATCTTGATTTTCATTTACCAATCTTTCAGCTGTTCAATAACTCCATAATGCGAAATTATACAACTATGAGTGTTTTTTTTGTGCAGACGTTTTTTCTTATATCTTCTTGGATTGTAACTTTTCAAATATATAACATTTATAGAAGTCATGGAAAATTCACCATTAGTCAAGCCCTTATTCTCATCTTTAATAGATTCATTAGGTAAGAGTTAATTTATTGCATTTTTCATTTAGTGTGTAAATAATACAGACCTTTTACTAAGAGTAATTTAAATAATTATTGGTCAAAACGGATTGAATAGCAATCCCCGCCAAGACACGCTTTCATAATATTGAAACGGACATAATATAGTATTATATGTATAATAGTTGTCATTTCATACGTAACGATTTCGTTGCTGTTTTGTGTTGTTTTAGATTAATTTATGATCTAAACTAGATCAATCCTGATCAAGGGACATTGACATTTACAAACTAAACATAGTTCTTTAAAAAAAAATTGTATCAAATACTTTTAATTAAAAACTTTAAATTAAATGCTGTTAATATCTTATGTACCTCAGAATTGAGAAACTCTGAAAAAATTATCTCTGATGATACAACATGACACTGAATCTTGGTCTAATATTTCTCATTGCAAACGTTTTGTAAAATTATATATAAAATAAAACCAATGACACGATTTGGTTCATTTAGGTTTGTGGTAAAAACAGCAGTAGCTACAATTAGTACTTGTAACCTAAAAATATATTTTAGAATTGGTGTATGTTCGACTGCAATGCTACTTTTCCTAAAATCTACTTGGAATAATTTAGCTAGGGGGCCTATTAATTTTGATGCCATTGATATGGTTCAAAGAGCATGTAAGCTTAACTGGTGGCAATCTTTTTTTCTGATAAATAATTATTTATATCTCGGAGAAATAGTAAGTACTCTTTCTTCTTCATCTTTGATGCATTATATATTTGTTTATGATATTTATTACAGTGTCATCCTCCTTCGTGGTATTTGTCTGTGGATTTTCAACTGTATATCATGACAACTATCACCATCTATTTAATTCTGAAATTTAAACTCAATGAGTTTAAAATCATCAGTTTCCTAATATTTTTTTCTTGTTTACTATACGGATCAATTATATATATGAAAGAAATGGATACAATTTATAGGATTAATCATAAGTAAGTACCCTGCCACTGCTACGGTTTTAATGAGATTGTCATTGACTATAAAACGGCTTACAAAAACTAGGTGAGTCGGGAGAATCACACCAAACTCCAGGAATGGATTCTACTCATCAAAACAATAAGAAAAAACTCAAATAGTGTTATGCGATTTTTTCATTTGTTTCCAAGGTATAACGTACATTTCAATAAAAAATAATAATTTATTGAAATTCTATTAATCATAGTGTTCTTTGATTAAACGTTCAAAAACACCAACATTGACCACTAATCACTTTCTGCTTCGTCTACGAAGGGCGTCTGTTAGTTCGCCTGATTGCTGCATATCTTTCTTTAATAAGTGCTGCACTATTAATAAGTAGAATTAATGCTTCCCGAGTGTTTACTCTAACTTTGTACATTTTATTTTTTAACCAGCCCCCATAATCTAGTGGTGTGAGGTCCGGATATCTTGGAGGACCACCGCCGTCAATCCATGGTAGTACATTCGCATTCTCATGTCTATAGGATCATCCTCTAGTAGTACTTGTAATTCATTTTGTAAAAAATTTAAGTAGTGGTCTCCTGTGAGTCGTTCTCCAAAATAAAAAGGCCAATTAAATAACTATCGATCATGCTACATCATAGGTTTACCGAAAACCTATGGTGAAAAATACTTACGAATGTTGCGTGGGCTTTTTGTCTGATCACATATGAGAGTTCCTACAAAACTCGATACGCTTAGCATAATCTTCCGGTTATAGTGTTGTACTCTCTGTACATGATACAAGTATGGTATAAGTCTTGCTCGTGGAGGGTTTTTATTTCTCTTTTTTATGGAATGCCCAATTGAGTAGCAATTCTTGGTGAGCTGGTAGTTGCATCATCTTCTACTAGACCCAGAATATTTTCTACCACCTCTTCTAAACTTTGTCGATGATCTCGTTCAGATGTTATGACCACTGGGAAGGAAAACTTCCCAGTAGTCATAACATCTTTCGTACAATTTGTTGAAATCTCTGATAAATACATTCTTATCAGGACATCTGCGATGTAGAAACCATTGACGATATTCTTCAACAACAACATTAGCATTCCCATTACAAAAACCATAAACAAACACTACATTTGCATACTCTAAATTTGAATAAGTTCTTGACATCTTGTAACAGTTTGGTAGTACAAACGTGTAATCAAATGTTAAACTATTGCAACATAAAACGACTGACAAATATCCTACATTTGAACTTGGAACACGTCATACGCTGATTACAAATTATTAAAATTTGTAATTACGCTATAACTTGAAAACAAATGAAAATCGCATAACAACATTTAAGTTTTTTCTTATTATTTTGACGTGTAGAATCAATTTCTGGAGTGTGGTGCGATGCTCCCGACTCACCCTGTATATACAGCCTATGTAACAAAATTAAAATATGTTTTCACCAACAGTGTTACTAGAATGTTTTTATTTGTACGATCGGAATCATGTAGGATATTATACCTTTCAACATATTCCAACTGGACTACAAGCTTAGTAGGCATATTACTAGGAATTGCATATACAAAATCCAAGAATAACAATATCGTTAGTAACAAGGTAAGTCTTCTCATCTGTTTCTTTATTAAGTAATATAGCACCCCAGTAGTAGTTAGAAAATATTTAAAATCGAATTGTACTGATTTACGTTTTTGTTCTGGTATGGTACAATGTTAATGAAAAAACATAGGATATGCAAGAAGTGTATAGTGTTATTATTGTTCGGTTTTTTATTGAATGTGATATTTATTATCGTATATCGTATTTATTATCGCATCGTTAGTCTCTGATTTTAGGGCATAAAGTGCAATTTTTAGCCCTCTCTCGATACTTTAGATGTAATCCGAGGGTAAAACCATTGGAGTAAGACTATTTCAAAGCTGTGTGTTTGCCCATCAGTTTTCGCCATTACGACACAATTTTGTAACAATTTTTTCTCGAACAATATTAATCCACAGATATTTTATCTGTGCCTCTAAAAAATAAAGGAACATTTATTATTGCAATTCAAATGATAACATGATATTGAGATTTGCTGTTTCTGGCCAATGTCAAATCACTATTTAATTTAAGAAAATATAATTTTTCCTACTTCCACATATATATANTTTAAAAAAAAGAAGCGTTAACGTTGTGGATAAAAAAATTATGCTCGTATTTACGTCATAAACACGGCGTATGTGGCGCCCTCTAGAAGATACATCGAAATAGATAACAAATTATGATTTCTCGTATACAAAAACATCTACCCCTAAATTTTCACGTTCATACACTCAAAAATATTATAATTATTACGAAAATTCAATTTTTAATTTCCAACTTTGACACCCTGTATCTTTTTTGTTATCAACATTTTATTAAGGCATGATGGCTCCAATCGCAATATTTTGAAGTAAAAAATGTAGTATGTCTCTATGGACCATTACTTACGGACCACCCTGTATATTCACTGTTTTCTTTACAACTTGCTAAAAGGATAGGTAGGTGGATTATTATTTTAAATGCATTGTTTGTTACTGCAAGAGTTCGCAAACAAAACCACATCCGTAAGCATCTGTAGTTGCCAACTGCGTGCACTAAACAAACTCCATTAAAATATGGAACAAAAACGCATTGGTTGATCACAATCCGGGGGTAAAATCTGTTGAACTGGTTGCAGATGATAGGGCTGCAACAGCTGGCGCCTTAAGTTGCGGTGTACGGTACGAGATGAGGTTCCTACTTGCTGTGCGAGTCGTCGAGTACTACTTGTGGGGTCTTCGCGTCAAGATTTTCCAACACTACATCTTCAACATTAAGGTTCACTTGGTGACCACGTCCTTCCTCGTGAAATAACACTAACCGTATCTCGCAGCCGTTGAACCCACTGTAGGATTCTATTTGCACACGGGGGGTGACGTTGTGACCATCGCCACGTTCGGAAATAGTAAATGCATTGTTTTCTCCGTTCATTGTAAAACTAGTATGTGCACAAACTAAAAAATTAAGCAAAATAAGAAATAAGAATCTCATTTTTATGTAATCGGCACGCTATTCTTATTTTTTACTTCTTTATAAAAATTACACTGTCACTATCGTGGAATTACAAAATAAAACCTTTTGTATGGAATTTTTCACTTTTTAACACTGATGGGTCGATGGACGATGCTTAATATTTAATAATTAAGTGAATAATGAATTCCATACAAGTACAAACTCAGTTGACTGTACAAACCTTCTTTTAGTATTCTTAGTATTAGATTATACCGACTTAAATCATGAGGTTGCATCTCGGGTCGCATAAAAACATTTCCAAAGTTTTTAATAAATAACACAAGGTCGTCCTTTATTTTCGTTGAATAAATTAACCTTAATTTACAAAAAAAAACGCGAAGATAGAACTTTTTCATATAAGACTTTACTATTAGAAATATCAGGAAGCTGTAGTTTAATTTTTATAGATTTTACATGCCACACCCTAAGTTGAGATCTTTCCTGAAATTACAATCAGCGGGCTACAAATCTAAAAAAGCCTAAATCTTGACATCTGAAAAAAAAGTTTTTACTGGAGGCTCCAAATGCCGAAGTGAATGCGTTTCTGCCGACAACGAGTAGGACCCTTGAACACTTTTTTTTTATAAATATTTCTTAAATATTAAATTTTGATAAAATTTTAAGTGGTATTAATTTTTGGTATTTCTGGGGGATGTCGTCGCCAGGAATTAAAAAATTTGAGGATAAGCCATATAAGGGATCTATAAAATGAATTATAACAAAAACAGATCGATCATTTGTAATTATGTTTTACGAGCTGTCTAAAAAATATATGCTGCTTAGACCTTCTGATGTGGAACAATTTTTGTGCACTACCAAAAGGGTAAATAAACGAAACAAGTAATTGGGATCAACAAAATTGGTAATCAACCCAAAGTAATTGATGAATTTTTAAAGTTACTTAATGCAAATCTATATACAGGACATTGTTTCCGACTTTCAGACGCCACTATTCTTGTAGATGCTGTGGGTGACACCCTAGCAGTTAAAAATTTTGATGGCTGGAAACAGCAGTAATGGAAACTTATATAGAACATTCTTAAGTAAGAAAAACAAATTGCCACTATCATCGTATAATCAGTTGATGCCACAAAATGGGAAGTAAACCCATCAACATCGCAAATAAATATCCAACCTAATGTATTAGCATCAATATCATCTACCACAGACCACCTAGACTGGCCGTATCTAATTCCAATGCACGGTTACCAGTGAATGCAAAATCCGGGGAAGTGGAGTGTGGAAGGCAATCTGATCACGCGCATGTTTAAGCAGATCCGGATTAAGTAATATTTTTATTACATACTTATTAAACATTATATTGCATCTTATGACAAATATTCAATTTTAAGTTTGTAATTCAGAAAATAGTATATTTTAGTGTCATATTAAATAAAACTACAAAATAATTTAAATATATTTATTGTCCTCTAAATAATATTAATTTATTTAATATTTGTCTTTTCGTAGATTTTACCGAATTAAATAATTTGACTTCATGATTTATTCGTACATCGATATACTTTTCACATTCAGCCCTTACAAGTTCTATTAAATGATTACAATTGTTAGGCAAATTATCAAATTGATGTTCATGCAAATTTTCAAATATGTTCACATTCAGAAAGTTTTTTAATACATGATAAACAATTTTATTTTTCTGTAGCCTAGGTGTTCTGCTTTCATCATTATTTAAAAATTTTATTAATTTTTCTGTTTCTTAGCATATTACTACGACATCTCGAGATGGATACGTCAAACAACCACGATCTTTAATAAAAATTAATTGACTGTACGAATACTGAATCTGAAATTAGTTTTGTTTGCGATTTTTTTAATTGAAAAAAATATTTAATTAATTTTCAGCTATCTCGAAATGACGGGAATTGGTAAAATTTCATAAAAATTTAAGACTCGCATAAAGTAAATAATTACTAAAAATATTTTACAGTAATTCATTCATTATTTTATAATAACAATATCACGTTAATCACTACACTATGTGGGCGAACAAAATTATAAAGCTAACCCTGGAAACTTGTGACGTTAACCGAAAAATGGCGTACATATTTACCTTTTATATATTCCTTTTTTTTACTTACCTAAAGAAGGAAACTTTTCGCCTCTCTTCACCAACTCGATCACTTCTATTTATACAATGTTTTACAATACACTTGCCCATGATAAAACGTCTAATTATCGAAATCACAGCGATGCGTACACGTCAAATGCTAGGACACGACTGACTGCTGGGCTCCAAATCAGGCTCCAAAGTGTTTTCACCAAAGTCGCTCTATAAGCCAGTCTAGGTGGTTTATGTCATCTACCTATAAAGAAAATGTATTCACGGATTTAAATAAAGAAGACTTATATTAATTGTAATTTCAATAACTGTATGTTTGTTATAAAAAATAGATAAATTAACTATTTCAAGAATTAGTTTTTATTATTTCTATTTTTATTTTTGGTGGATCGTAGGAAAAACACACTATACAACTCGAGCGGATTGTCCATATCGCACTCGAACGATTGGAACTTCGCCTACTCAAGCTTCGTTTTCGTGCGATATGGACATCATACCCGCTCTTGTTGTACAATTAACTTATTTTAGCCCCTTGTTTAATCTATTAGGAATATTGTTAACGTTTGTTTTATTTTAGAATCGGAAGATTATATCCATTTTGTGGTTTTTAATATTTTTTGGCCTACCGTGTGCAGTCATATTTTTAGCAAGACATGAATTCACAGGGATTCGAGCAGCAATTTTGGGTGCTTTGGTTAAACCCCTGTTTTCTTTAGGCATCGGAATAGGCATTTTAGGAATGTCACACAAAATGGGAGGTAATATGTTTTATGTGCTTTTATGAAACACTATCTCCACGATGAGTTTGATTCATTTATAGTCCAGTTGGTAGAGGTTCAGCCCGTGTCAAACCATGATAACCCAGAAATAACTACACAAGCCTTCTTTAAATTATGAGTACAATAACAGGCTAATTTGCTGACAAAGTATTTTATCAGGAAAAAAAGTTATTAACAATTTAATCGTGAAAAAAATTTTTTTTAGTAGTTTTCTTTAAATAACTCAGCGGGATGACTTTGTACGAAAAAATGCTTAGGACATGATTTTGTTCGTAATAAAAATAGCTACAAAATGGCGGTGGTCCGATTACGAAATTTGCAATAACAAAGCCGTGAGATTGAAAAAACGGTATAAAACGCCAATTTTTTTAAGTTGCTGTAAAAATGTCAATTATAAACAAAAAGTGATAAAACTTTCGAAAACTATAGTTCAATATATATACAATAATGACGCTAAAGCCGAAAATCAGGAGAGCAAAACTTTTTGTTCTATAAGGTGTTATACATTCATCGGCATCTGAAACTCGAAACTTTGCCAAATTTGTTCGAAGCTTTGCTGACACTTGAAATTTGGTACACACATAGTGTAAATATGCAGAAACCAAAAGCAATTTGCAAAATTCAAGTATCTTCATTTTTGCAGTTTTGGTAAGGTTTTATACGTCACCCTAGTTTTATACGTCACCGTTTTTTTAATTTTTGGACGTATATTTATGTATATTTATAAAATATTCCATTACGGTAGATTAGCCAGCATAATTACCTACAATTTAAAAAAATATATATTTTCATCGTTTAGATCCTAAGCTACTTAACATTTTGCGCCTGTTAGCCATACTCGTACATTATTCAACATATCAACATAAAACAAAAACGTACGTGTGGGGTAAACCTTTAACTTTAAGTAAACAATTGTTTAAATTTACTGTTGCATATTTCTAATAGTATACAAGCGCCGAAGAGCGGAGCTCGCGCTCGAAAATGAAAAGTTAAAGGTTTACCCCACACGTACGATTTTGTTTTATGTTGATATGTTGAATAATGTACGACTACGGCTAACAGGCGCAAAATGTTAAGTAGCTTATGATCTAAACGATGAAAATTATTATTTTTTTAATTGTAGGTAATTGTGCTGGTTAATCTACCGTGATGGAATATTTTATAAATATACATATATATTCTTCCAAAAATTAAAAAAACAGTGACGTATAAAACTAGGGTGACGTATAAAACCTTACCAAAACTGCAAAAATTAAGATAATTGAATTTTGCAAATTGCTTTTGGTTTCTGCATATTTTCACTATGTGTATACCAAACAAGTGTCACCAAAACTTCAAACAAATTTGGCAAAGTTTCGGGTTTCAGATGCCGATGGATGTATAAAACCTTATAGAACAAAAAGTTTTGCTAGTTATTTTTATTACGAACAAAATCATGCCCTAACCATTTTTTCGTACAGTCATTCTGCTGATTTATTTAAAGAAAGCTACCAAAAAAAATTTTTTTTCACGATTATATTGTTAATAACTGTTTTTCCTGATAAAATAATTTGTCAGCAAATTAGCCTGTTATTGCACTTATCATTTAAAGTATTCCTGTGTAGTTATTTCCGAGTTATCAAAGAAATGTCACCAACAGTAACTTTTCGGCCTTTCTCGACTGGACTATTAGTTAATAATACAAAGTAGAATTTAAAAAAATAGTTCTTACGACCAGATTCAACAAACTTTCAAAACAGGCGATGAAAAAAAATGTTTTGAAATGTACTGAACAAAACTGTTCCACCGTTCCACTTCCGACATAACCGAAAATATTTTCATAGAAAGTTGCCAGTTAAATATTATTTTAATTATTATTGCTTATTTTCTTTAATTTAAAGAAAACTCAATTCACCAAAGTAATAAGTGATTTTTTTTAGTTTATTTTCGTAGTCTTCACTTTCCCCAATTGGGTTTCGTCGTATATTTTAAATTATTTAATTAATTAAAAAAAAATGTTAATCCGTGTTTTTGTTTTAGGTCTTATCAAACATATATGTGAAAATAAATGTGTTGTCCTGATGAGTAATTTCTCATTCTGCACATACGTTTTTCAGTTTTATGTTATATTCTCTAAAGGAATTGAAAGTTATTCGTTGATGCAGTTTGAACTTATTAATCTGGTAATAAAATTTGATTTCACGATTTCGATTGTTTGTTTTAAAAATTTTGAATTTTCCTTTTCCAGATAAAATACTATTTGCTTTTTGATGCACCCCTGGCTATAATATTTGGAATTATCTGCACGTTAGTATTCGAGCAGCCAGGAATTAATTTACAAAAAATATTCTTGCCACAAATAGCACGTAGGAAAGAACAACGGAAAAGAGAGTAACGGAATGATTTACTGTTACAAATTAATCTTGACTTCTGTTAAATTTTGTTATTTGAATTAAATTTAAGAGATAATAATATTATATTTTATTTCCAAAGAAAACGAAAAGTATCATATAAAAATATTATTATTTATAAAAATTTCATGTTAATAAATGAAAAATTTACTTTGTCTTTTGTTTACTCAGATCCTTCCTCAGAAGCGAATTTAAGTATTACATTTCGAATTGGTTTTAAATTATTTTATTTTGTGAATTTTTTTTATAAAAAGGTTTTTATTTTATTGAAAGGAAACAAGGAAAAAAAATATTGAATTTTACATTAAAAAAACTTACTCCTGCACCTCTAGCTAAAACCTATATTAGTTTTTACAAAATATTAATCCTTATCACTACGTTTAAGAGCCGTGACGTCAGCAGTGTTGACGTAATGATGTAAACAGGGGTATTGGACACCTCATTTGAAAGGTCTCCTAATCATCTATCCAACGGTATAATTATTTGAATATTTATTTCTACAAGGTCAACCAAACTTATGTATTTACTTATGTAGAATGAAATTACAATAAATGTTCAAACTGATTACCTTCAGCAATGTTGCAATGAGAAAGTCGGGCAGTAAATTCTTCTTTATCTTTTTCTAGAACTTCAGAGATTGTTTCTGCAATCTCCGTTCTGATGCACTATTTTAACTCTTCTAGACCATTTCATCGACTTTGATCAATTTTGGTCTTCAAGTATCCCCATAAAAAGAAGTCTCACCTTGTGCATGTAATAAACATTATCCTGGAGAGACATTTCGACCTGTGAATATTAGAATAAATCAACACAAAAACTTCATTAAAAAACGAGAAGTTGAGAAATCTAAAATTTGCGATTACGCTTGGGTAAAAAAGGTCATTATAATTTAATGAGCTTCGACTAAAATTTTGGAAAAGCAATATAATACCGTTAAAAGTAAATTAAAATAGAGCCATTATTTTGTTGAATGGTGAAAGATATGTGTAAAATTATTCTGTAAACTTGGAACCTTGCTGGATACAAATTATAAAAGCTGAAGTATCTAAATAAAAATAGAACAAACATCATTTAATATCTCTAGCTATGGAAACAGACAAAAGAAAACTAATTCAAGCTGTACCTAAATGTAACTAGACCGAAAAGTCAAAATAAGTTCAGATGACGAAAACAGTGAATTTTCAAAACGTTAACAACTTTTTAAAGTGCTCGATATAAGGTGATGTGTTTTTGTATTTTGTATTTGTCTGCTTTTTGCAGTGTGAGATTTTTTTGGTTAGGCAAAACTTTTTTCACAAAAATAACCGTTGACTGATCCTTTTCACAGGTGGCAGGATACTCAAAAAATAAAGAAAAATTAATATGTTCAAGTAGGTAATTATTCAGTTTGTAGTATGTAATGCGTGACTTATTACTTTTCATAGTTGTATGGTACCTATTTATTTTAATTAACAAATACGGCCAAAAAACACTCACTCATTCGTCCATAAAGTTTTAATAAAGTTGAGATTCATTGCATTTTGATTTTGAAAGCAATTGCTAAACTGGACGAGACGACGACTAGGAAATCAGCTGTTTCCCTACAATTGCTGTGTATTCCGCCGGCCTGCGCCTGCGCATTTCCTGTCACGTAGTGGAGCACCGAGTTAACGGATGTTAAGGGGTAATTTGCTTATTTTTTAAAAGGTTGAAAAAACATTTTTTTCATTGTCTGTGTTTATTAGACCTTCCAAATACGTGGTTAAAAATAATGACATCATGACTGAAACATCCTGTATAAAAGAATGGAAAACATGATATTGCAATTTCTTGTATTGTTATTCATGTAAAAGAATGAAAAACATGACATTGCAATAATAGTAATCTACATTATAGTACTTAGTGAGAAATTTGTTGTGCATTGTAATTCCATATCTAGATATAGCCTGTTTTTAAAATAGCTTAAATTTTAAATTATTTGATTTCTTTCTATAAACCAAGGACTCATTATATTTTATTTTTAAGACAAAAGCCGTGAAGGAATTTTTTTAATTAAAATTAGTTATTTCAAGAAATAATAAGCATATGTATAAGCGACGCAAATTATAGGAATATTGATGTAATTTCTAAGCTTGAAATTTTAAACGGAATTAAAGTTAGTAAGTAGTTTTAGTAGTAGCCAAATGGCGATAATTTTATATATCAAATGATTATGGAAAATGCCATTTTAAACTAATTTGTAACCTTTAAAACCAAAAAAAAAAGTAAAGAAAATCCTCAGTTATGTTTTGTCTTTATGTAGGTATATTTAATTGTAATAAAATAAAGTGTCAATTGTATTCTATAGAGAAGAAAGATACATTTAAAAACGTTTGTGTCAGATTGTCAGCACGCTTTTAGTCAATTCTTGCCGTTTTTGCTCGTTCTTCTCCCTTGTACACAAGGGTTATACTTATAAATAGCCAAGTTTATTACATCATGTTGTCGCTGTTCAGTTATCCCTCAATAGTTCAGCTATTAAATATCTTTGTAGAAAACACTTCGCTAGCTGCTATCTTCTCCAGTGAAATTTTGGAATAAATTTTTGTTATACTTAATAATAATTTGCATTATAACTAAGCGCGTGGATTACCTAATGCGTTTATAATAATTTTATAATATTGTGGAATACTTACCCGGTTCCATATTAAAAATATGGATGAGCTCTTTAAATATCTGGAAGATTCTTTCAGCGATGTCCGCGAAGGAGAAAAAATATTTTTATATAACGAAAACGATTGTTCGACATCTAATGACGTTATAGGTGCATATTTGATGAAATTTCTAAAAGCAGTTGTGAAGTGTATCTTAATCTGGAGAAATCTGGATTTTTTTTACACATTGTCAAACTTTCTTTGAGGTAAACACTTTTCTCTTCACTTACTGTTTGTATGTCATCTACTATTTGCAGTGATTCATCTAACGATAATGCAGTATTTTGTAAGTTTTTTTTATAGCATGCGCAATTGGAATGTAATTGTTGTAAATATTTTCCAACTGTGCTTCAACTCGACTATCTTGAAATTTTATTTAGCTCTTCCGAATAGCAGCGGATTCTTTAGCATCGAATTGTAAAATTACGGATTTTATTTTTTGAAAATGTTTAAAATAATGCAGTGATGCCTCTAACTATGTCCCTCATCGTGTAAGAATGGGTTGTGGAGGTTTTGGAATGCCAGGACACTATTGGTGGAATTGACGAATACATTTCGGGGATTTGAGAAACACTGGCTTGGTCTGTGCTATTATTCATCTACATTTGGGTAACACCGACGAATTGTTTCTACTACAAGATGTAATGCATGTTTTGTTAGTAGAGAAGAAGGTCCGAATATGGGCTATGTACTTAATATGGGCCCCATGGCTATTCCTACTAGAACATCTATCGGTATCACTGAATAATACCATTGTATAAGTAAATTATTTACTTAAACAATGATAATACTTTAAAAGACAGCTACCTAGTAGCGAACTGTTTTACCGACATTGTGCAGTTGATTTCTTATATTGTTAGAAACAGGTGGTGGTGAATGTGTTCTAGAATTCTGAATATTATCTGAAGGTAAGTTGTTATTATGTTTTATACGATTTTTAGTGGCTAGGAATGTTTGTATATTCACCTAGATATTTTTTATAAAGATCAAAGTTTGTTTTGTTCAAAAAATATTTTGATTCACTTAAACTCTACAAATAATAGGTATCTATTGTTGAATGACATGCAATGCTGGTAATATGGGCCTTTTGTGGGTCCGAATATGGGCCAGGGCCTATATTTTCCCTTGATTTTGAATTCAGTTCTTTTTCCAGGTTGACCATACCACGTAACAAACAAAAGTTTTTACCAAAGAATTTAAGGAAACAATGGAACTCCAAAGACATGATAAAGGCTATGGATAGCGTAAATAACAAAAAAATTACATTTGTGACTTTTGCAAATAATTTCTTTCTTTCTAATTTCTGTTGCCATTACTCTTTTGTGTAATCATATATGAAGTTTTTTACTAGAAAATAAAGTCTCATTTGTTAAACGTAAACTTATGCATCATTTTTGATAGGGGCCCATATTTCATACACTCTACCCTCATACAAGATATTGTTCAATTTTCATATTTTAACTGATATCTCAGTATTTTTATCTTTCTGGAACTTTGCTGCGTTCATTATTGTAGACGAGTTATTGGACAAAGTGTGTCTCAATTTTTAGGTGTATTTGTCAAAAAAATTGTTAATAATCTATAAAAAACAAAATAGGGGCCCATATTCGGACCTTCTCCTCTACTTAATTTCGACATGCCTATGTATTTACTTTTTAAGACACAGAAAAAGTTTCGTCGCTCCACTTGTGGCATTGCTCCGTAACGTAACAACGAACATGTTATGGCCTGTTGCAAAAGGTGACGCGGTTCGCTGCGAAAGTATGTGTGGTTTTGGTCGTATCATTCATTCCGCAACGTAACAAAATAAGGTTACGAGACGACACAGGAACATAAACTCGCAGTATGAACCTGATTGCAATAATGGATTCGTCACTGCAATTGCAGTTAGCAGCAGCGTCATATATTTTTATTCATCATACAATTTTGAAGAATAAAAAACGAAAATCTCCGCGATGGTGGATCTCAAAACTGTATCAGAGTAGGACGATATATAGTGGATCAAGTTTGTTGGCGGATTTAAAATTCCAACATATAAGTGGACTCTATAAAAATTTCGTCAGAATGCACCCGACTAATTTTGTGCAAACACAGAAAAACACACTCTTCCTAGACACTGCAGAAAACAGACCATGTACAAAAGACTGACGAAACAAAAAATAAGACAAAATCACATGTGCAATACGCAACGTTACGGCCAAAAGGGTAACCCCGCAACATGTGGCAGAAAGTACTGTTGCATCCCTTTGATGCGACGACTAAAAACCGACTGAACTGAACTGAACTGATGGTTCGTCCCAGATTAGTTACGCGTGTCAAATTTGTTACACGTACCATGCAACAATTTACCGTCTCCACTAGCTGTAACGTAACATATTCAGTGTTACATTACGTGTTACGCATTTGAC